TTAAAGTTATAGTATATAATAAAATATATTTTATACATTTTTAATATCTCCTTTAGTAGTTTATGTTGTTCTTAATTATATCAGCTATGTATTAAAAATACATATAATATTTTTTAACATAAGATTATGTTGATTATATTTAATTTTGACGGATTAAATTTACGTAATTAAATACAGAGATTATTAATATAATCAAAGTTATTGGCTTTCTCAATCATTAAATTACACTAAAGTGTGATTTGAACATTTTTGTTTGAAATATTATGATGTTCATAACTGTTTTTTAGATACTTAATAAAGTTTTTTTATTAATAAATCATATTTAGTTTTTTTTAATTATGCTTAATGCTAATTATATTTCTATGTAATAGGTAAATGTTTAGACATAGACTATTATTAATAGTAAATTTTATTCAAATTTTACATGGGATTATGGAAATTGAAATAATTTACAAAATACAGTTGTATAAAGTGTTTTCAAATATGAAGTATAAAAATAAATATTTATGAAATTTATTATACATTTTTTTCAACCGAATATTTTAAATATCCGGGCCAAAATATTCGTTTTGGAAACTCCATTTGTGCACCCTTATTTTTGTTTAATTTACAATAATTAAGAAAATGTTTTACTATTTAGAAAAATTTTGAAATTCTAAAGCAGTGTTAATTGTTTTACTTAACATACTTTTAACAAGATTACCCTTTAAAAAGATAACACTTTTATTGATATTTATTGGGAAATTTAAATCATATGGTACTGAATACATTATTATTCTTGTAGTACATTCCTCCATTTAAATAATTAATTTTAACGAGATTTCTTATACTATTAAACATTAATAAAAGTAAAATGTTTAAATTATATGCTAAAAATAATTTGTATTGAACTCTTATTACAAATAATCTATCTGATAAAATTTATAAAAAATACCTGAGAAATAAAATTGTATAAGCATAATAACACAAACACTAACACATTTTTTTTACCAAATTAATATATTAATAAAGCTAAACAGTTACTGTATGACTGATATTAAAATATTAGTTACTAAAATAAATTTAACATTACATCACAACATCTTCATATATCAACAATTTTTTTTTAAAAAGATAGAGTATAAGCCAAAATAAAATATAAATATTTTGTATTACTCAAAAAAAAAAATTAATTAATTAGTTTAAAAAGTTTTAGAAATATATATATATATATATTTTAATGATAGAATTATTATAATATATTACAGAAAATACAGTACTATAATTTATTACAGAAAATACTTTATAAAGTATTTATTAAATTACTTAGTAATTACTCTATTAAAATTAATTCTTCATTACTATATTTATGTTGAAAAATAAAATATTAGCAGACTACTTGTCGATTTTTTTTAAATAACTTAAAATTTATTTGTTTTTAATTTAAATGTACATCCAACTCTAATATTTTTGTTGTATGTAATAAATAAGTCTTATTGGAATTGTCGTTATCTCGTGTGAAATTAGAGCAACAATAAATAATATCGAACGTCTAAAATTGGACGTTACTAACTATTACTTTCCTTTTTTATTCATTGTAATTCATTCATATTAAGCGTAATATTATTTTGATTGACTTTTAAAAAATATCCGTTGACTCTTGGTATCATTGTGTCATAGCGTGTGTCACGCTTATTTCCTATAACCATTAATAGTAATATTATTCATAAATTTATTTTTCACAAAATGAAAACCCGATCATAAAAATCAAAACAATGTAGTACTATAAGAGTCTATAGAGAGTCGTAGTTGATCTACTTAGGCTCTTAAATAATATTTATGGATACAGTAAAATCACAATATTAACTATTTAATTACACTAAATTTACCGGTTGCGATCGGAGTTTTATTTTTTTTTTTATAAAGAAATTTTAAAGAGCAATAAAAAATTTATTTTATCTTATTATATTAATACTATAGCTGTTTTCAGGTTAATACTGATAGGATTAAGCAGTATATGACAAATTTAATTAATATTATTTTGTTTTATTTCTTTTGTAAACGTTGAAATTTATATTGTTAACAGCGACGTAATAATTTACTAGAACAGATTCTGTTCGAATTGTGGTTTCAGATCATTAGTCACATTTAATTAGCCTGTGTTTAATAGTAATGTTGATCTGTAAAAATTAGGTTGCTACAGTTTTAAAGATCTAATATTGATAAATCATTTTATATGAATGTAATTATATCCATATTAATTGTACAAAGGGTGGCTTCATCTGCCGAACGAGAGATCAGTTTGGTAATTGGAGTCGCTATCCCTCTCTCCGGTGATGAACTAACTACCGTCCCGGAGTTTAAATGGTTTTAAAAACTTCTTCTTTTGGGGGAGGTCGCTATGACCCTAAATGGGCTTATAAAGCGTTAAAAAAAAAATTATATACAGATGAATTTTGTTTCTTTTAAAATGTATTATAACGTTAAATTAAATACGGGATTGATTACTTTTGAAAAAATATAGTTGCTGGTTTACATAAATGCAATTCACAACTCTTCGTTATGTATTGTCATTGATTCATTTAGTACTCAATGACTTAATAAAAATTTATCCCTATTACTTTTTTTTAATGGAAAATTGATTTTGTCCTCTTCCTTCAAGATGTATGTTTTATGGTCATATTTTAACTAAAAAATACATTAAGTACTTGTTTAAAAGACAACTTTTATGATATTTGAAAACTTAATGTTATTTAAATATTCTGATAAAAAATTATTTCATATTTCTTTTATAGTTTTAGTGAAATATTAAATACATGGCTACTTAATTGTTGCATATATGGGCTATGATCTTTGTTTAGGGTGGCGTATTAATATGATAATGTTATTAAAATACTACTGGGGCCGTTAATATTGGTTCGATAGAGAAGTGATTTTAACGTAATTCAGTATTAGTATTTGCGACCATCCGATCATTGTTAGTCGTCCTAGATTTCTCTTGTTAATCAAATTTAGTCCGTTACTGAAAACATTGTAGCGTATCAGTAATCGGTCAACTTTTTTATGTACGTTAAATCACATTCAATTCCACAAATATTTTTTTTGCGCTTTAAAATATTAACTGTTCATTAATGAAAAGTAAAGCATCAAGATGATTTTTTGCTATTCGTTAATTATTTTTAGAAATTTTTAACAGAAATCTTGGTAAATATATTAAAATTATAGGCGTGTACCGAGATTCAAGTCAGGAGTAGCAAAAACATGTACCGACTCATGACTATTCTAAACAGTTTATACTTAAAGGTAGATTTAAGGGGAATGTAGAGTATTTACTCTTAAAAACACATTTTATAAAATCAGTCTGAAATTTTTGTACTTAAAAGTATGATAATCCTCATTAAAATTATAACTAAATTATTATTATTCCTATTGAGTACCAAATGTTAGCAGACCAAATAAATAAAATTAGAGCAGTCTGAACAACCAAAAACACCCTGCTGCCCCTTTACACACGTCTATGATAAAAAATGACATTTAATGGTTGGTCTCAATGAGCTTATAAAAAATGAGTGTCAAAATACTAAAAATATATATTAAGTTCTGCTTATGGTACTTTATAAGTGCTTATATCAGTTATAGGTTGTAATAATGAGAGTGATAAGATTTTTGAAAAAAAAAAGATGATGAACATTTTCAGTGGGACTTTTATACATTTTTCCAATATACTGTTGGAAGTGTAAGTCTCTCATAACTCCTTTTTTAGATTGCTCCTGAATAGTATCTATTGTTGATGTTAGATGTCAATAACTGTAAAAGTATTTTCTTTATTTTTACTGACTGTACGTGACGTCACTTCAAGGCAATTTACTCTACAGTTACTCTGTGTTTGGACTTCAATCGCAAAACTATTCACAGATGACTGCAAATTTGATAACTGTTCATAATGATACAAAATTAGAACTATTGTGTTAATTGTGATTACAGACTTAACTATTGAATTTGATCGTATACATTTATTAACATCAATAAGAATTTGGATTTGATGTAAAAATCATTAACATCCTAAGATTATTTTACTGAAAATGTTTTTAGACAATAGAATATAAAAATGTTAAGTATTATTTAAAAAAACAATGATGTTATCATTTATGGAATGTAGTTATATCTTAATGGTAGTTATATCTTTAATGGTAAAGTCAGAAAAATCTCTAATCTATTCATATTTTGAATTTTACATTACCAGTGGCTACGCCACTAGTTTAAGAATATGTTAATTATAATTTTACCTCTCAAATTTACCTTTAGTTGATATCCTATATTTATATTTCATTCTTTCAAAAAATATAAATTTAGCTAAAATATAACAAAAATAACAATTCTTTTTAATTGATGAAAAAAAGTCGATTTTTTCTATTAGTCCAGGTGTAGTAACACTTCACTAGTTATAAGAATGTAATGTTTTTAATAAAGATAATTTTTTGTACATACACAGGTACTAAAGTTCCTACTGAAAGAATATATTTTTTTGACTTCCTTCTACTTAAAATAATTATCATAATGGCATTTAACATTTTTTTTTCTAAATTCATATTAGATAAATTAGTAAATAATTCATTAGTTTACTAAGTGAGTTGTTTACAAACACTATCGAATTATCATTATGAAACTACAAATAATTGAATATTTTTATTCATTTTCAAACTTATTAACGTAAACTAATTACGTAAAGTAACTATCATCACGTTGAATAAAAAATGTTTTTAGATGGGTTTTAACTGTGATTTTTTATTTTAAAGTTTTGTCTATTTGTACCAGATTGGTTGAGGGCTAACAACATTTATGATAGGATCGATTCGAAAACCTTAATTTTTTATCTATCACCTGCAATTACAGATCTGTAATTACAAATTATTATGTATCTTAAGACATACAATAGTTAAAGAAATTTAAAAATCATTTAATGAAATTTTAATAATCGCTGAAGATAAATAAATTTTCATTTTTAAAACATGTATTTTTAGGACAGTTTTGGAACGTGCCGAAACTGGATGACCATGTTTTGGATACCGTGTAACCGGTAAGGCGAACGTCGGAGAGCAACTTATTTTTACTACTGCAGCTGTTTGCGGTCATGACGCGGTGGGACCATCAACGAACAAAGGTCAGCACGATAACGACAGAAGTAGCAGCAGCAGCAGCAACAATAACAACGGCGAAGGCGGCGACGTCGGCGCAACGTCGTCATTGGCTGCGGCGGACCTTTAACACGAGTGCGGCCGCAAGCCGATGATAACTCGCGCGTATTTAATTTGAACGCGTAGACGTGTAACGTGTAGATAGGCCGTTACCTGCAACCAGTGCGTAAAGGACATCGTTCAGCGTTCGAACGTGGCAAAAAAATAAAAATTGTGGACAAATTAAAGCTCCGAACAATTGTGCAAACACATGTGTGCGCGTCTGTGGCGGGGCGCGGTAAAAGGCACATCGCAGCCGCCGTTGCTTCTGCCTCAGCCGCCGGTTTTTTAGCGCCGTGCCTAGCAGGTTCGATGCGTTCGGCGTCGCGCGCGCATAACTATGAAACTCCGTGATCGGATCGCGATCGGCTTTTGCCTGTCACTAGCACTGGTTACCGTGTTGATCGTTGTGGACTTACAAAACGAGAACGAGAGGCGCTCCTTTAATAATGAAGCGTACCGTAGTAGTGGCGGTATAGGCTCGCACGGCCGTTCCGATCAGTTCGTCCGGGAACCGTTGCAACAGCCACTCGGCAAAAGTGTCCAACCACCTTTGCACCCTAGTCCGCACCACACTAATACCGCCAAGAAACTCCCGAATGTGGAACCTGCAGACGAATATGCCAATGACCGCTTCGATGACATTGTCCATTATCTCAAGTACAATAAGCCGTACAAGGGACACGTTGATGATTGGACAGAAATGGTCGACATAGTTGTTGACGACTCGAATACAGTGGCAAATCATAATGTAGCCAGTCTCTTTGATTTAAGACCCAAGTAAGAATTAACAAATTTCAAGTCGAATAGTTTACTAAAATCCTCCTTGAAGATTTAAAAACCTAGTTTGTAAAAATATATTCTGCTTTAGGTTTAATAAGTATATAATTTCCAAATTTTTATGAAGGGATTTAATGAAATCTATAAAATAGCAGTTATACATTGTTACGTAAGCACAATTAATAGTTTATTGTGTGCTTTAGTTACTCTACAAAAGAATATTATTTAATTTTTTTTATACAAATCAAAAATTAAAATTCTCAATAAGAACTACTGATAAATATCAGAATTGTATTCTTTTTAAGAGTGTGTAAACCATTACATAAAGTTTTCATTTTGTTAAAATGGCGATAAAATTTTAGTTAATTTTAAAAGCGTGATATAGAAAAAGGGTAAAAGAAAGTCAATATACTTAGGAAACACATGTGAAGACTTGAAAGGAATTACTATCGATGAATAATATTTCACTTTGTATTATAATACAAAAATGTTAGTTCCTCAAAAAAAAAAAAATAATAATAATAATAATTTGTCCTTTAACATATACTTAATTAAGATATTATCATTCAATAATCAATTAGGTTATCTTGTGCTTATGGCGAATAGATACAACCAGTTGGTAAATTTAGTTTTAAAAAAATGATTATATTTATAGTATGTATTTATTTACAATTATATAAATTTAATTACTTTTAAGACAAGCGATTGATTAGAACTACGATTACTTATTAATGACTTGACATTAATAAGTATGATTAAGTTTAGTTGCTCATAACTTATTTGCATACGTTTTACTCTATTTTATCTAAAGTGTAAAGTGCAATATAGTGCATTTAGAGCCTAGTTTTTTATTTGAGCTATAAACATGAATTTTTATTTGATATATTTATTTATCATGCATAAAAATTAAAGATGTTATTAATTACTTTTAGCATTATGATCTAATTATTTTATTTAAATAACTTACTTCAAGTTCAAGAGAATATGTAAATAAAAATGTATGATCTAAAAATTGTCAAATAGATTTGTAAGGTTAAAAAAAATTTTGGCTGGCGAAAATATAATAATATAAAATAACTTTACATTATTGGGCGAATAATAAATAGCTTCTGGATTATAATTAAAAAAAAATCGGGGGTATTATTCATTATTAGAATTTTTTTACTTAATATATTCAGAAGTCAACTAAAAATAAAAAAATTAGGTAGATTTGATAATTATGTACGAATAAAAATTCCAGCTTATAACTGTATAAAATAAATTTGTTAAATATTTTAATAGTATTATTTATTATTAATACTATAAAATGACAAGTGGTTTAACGGATAATATCAAATAAAATATTGTATTGTATTTATAGGTGATGAAAAAAATCACTTTAGTTTTTCTTTATTTGTGTCAGAAAAATAAAACAAACATTTTTTGTGCTGCCATTCTTTGAGTTGTAAATGTAAAGTTTAGTATTGATATCCACTATATCACACCTTAATAGATACGTCATAAAGAACTTTAAATATCAATCTGATCTTATATAACTTGTTTTTGTAGAAACGTTCTTTTCTTTGGATTTAGAAATTATAATACTAATACTTATGTTTATCCTAGACCTTTTAATATATTTTTTTAAAGTATTCTATTGATGTATTAGATGTATTTTGTAAGATTGTGTGAGTTCTTATAAAAGTGAATTGTTCTTGGAAATAATTTTACAGAAATAATATTTATGCTTAGTTACAAGAAATGCCGTAAAAAATTATGTAACTCATATGATTAACAATTTGAGCTTGCCTATAATTTTTATAAAATATAATCAAAATTGATTATTATTATTTTATTTCATAAATAATTTTATAACTCCAATAAATTTTTTTCTTTTTAAATATTAGTCTTCATTATTTATTTTCTTAATTAAATGCGCTAAAAAGTTCAAAACAGCAAAAGTATTTCAAAAAAGAGTTTGATGAAAGTTAAGTTATAGAAAATATTTTGGAACATATGTATATTTAATTAATTAATCATTTGGAATTGAATTTATGTTATTTGTGCGGCATAGGTATTTAATTAGTTTTATTAGTTAAAATATTTCTTGATGAATTGCATGTAATAATAGATCGTTAAGAATTTCCATAAGTGCAAACATACTTTTCCATAAGTTTGACTCTGCTCTACTGTTCACGCACAGTAGTCTGAAATTTAAATTTAACTGGCTAAAACAACCATTTATTTTAATATAATTTACATTTTTTTTTAGCAATTATCTTTTATTACTCATTGCTGAAGCTAATTATAAATTTTCAACCCCTAAGTTATTTTTTATTAATTATAGAGCTATTTAAAAGACAAAGTTTTATTTATTTTTTTGTAAAATATTTCTAGTAATGTTGCTTGTGTGGTTTTATATATATTAAGCGTTCACTTTTCAAAAAAAAAAAGTACATATACATATATATATATATATATATTAATTAAGTTACATTAATAGTTAATTGTGGGATAATTCATTATTAGTTATACAATAAATCCTAGAGGTTCAATGATTTAATAATTTAAAATCATGTAATTCACTGTGAGCATGTTAGAATTGTATCACAGCTATAACACATCAATGTCATTCAATTAGGTCAATTGGTTAATAGCCTATATTTTTCTACTTCAGTGAGATTAGTGGATTAGTTTTCAAACAATACAGCGAATAGGCTATTTAACTGCTTTTAAGGTTAAATTACTAACGTAAGTTAACACAAGTGTCACTGTATATAATTATATCTAAACGAAATAAATGGCACAATTGATCAAATATAACAAGGCACTCTTTTGTTATTTTGTTTTTATGCATAAAATTTATTAGTTTCATGTAACTACATGAAAATTTTAGAAACTTTCATAAACATAACGGAACTAGAGAAATTCTTATATAACTTCTTTTATTTTTGTAAATAAACAAGTAGGAAAATTTTATTTATAACGCAACTTTTTACCCTCCGAAAACAAACATGTCATACGTGACAGTCTATACGGCTGAATACTACCGCCATATGGACACTTAAATCGCTTAAAAAAGAAGTAAACACTTAACCAAACGTACAAGGTGTGAGGTCCATCAAAAGGTTAGCAAACAGTTTTTATAAAATTCAAATCCCTTAAAACGTGGTCAGTATATTATTGAGTAATTTTTCTTTTGTAAATGTGTAAATCATAAAACATTTTTCTTAGACTTAAAAATTCATTAAAAAGTTAACATTTTTAAGTTTATTCAGCTGTAACCGTTTGTTTTTAATTCTTTGATCACGTGACTATTGTGTGTTAACGAATAGTATGGTATAATCTCGATTCTAAGCCAAGCGATTAACTTTTACTTAATTATAAAAAAAAAACTTTGCCTAGTAAACTTTAAATTTTTGTGTGTGTGTGATATAACAATATTATATTAAATAAGCACTTAGTAACCGACCCATAGAGTTTAATCTTACATGTGATGTCGTTCAATGAATCTTACGAGTCCCATGTGTGTTTATTAGAGTCAACGTGTTATTGGACTGCGGTCATAATTCACACAGACTGCGGGCGAGCATTTGAGACAAATTGTTTTGTGTTGTTTATTGCCGATCCGATCGTATCATTGGATACATCTTATATTTCAGTAACACGGTTTATGTGCATCAATGTTAATATAACAATATAAGAAACTGAAAAAATCATACCATCCGTAGGTTGAATACTAATGACCGTCATCTTCTCTACTGAATACAGAACAATAATTATTGTAACGTGTATGTGCGCTGGCTGCATTGGGTTTCTTAGGTATTATCTCCTGGCGTAATGTCAAACAAGATTTATCGGTTAAGCAGACATTGGTTTTCGGACTAAGATACACACACGTATATATATTAGGGGAACTAAACAAGTTGTCGTATGACTGTGAAAACAAAAAAATGTTAGAGGAAAAATAATTTTTGATAAGAAATACTGATGTATTATTGAAAATGAACGTTTGTAAAAGATAAACTTTACAGTGAAAATAAATGTTGTGTTAGTTTTTATATGTTTATGAAGTTAGAAGAGTTATTGGTATCATTTTTTGTATTAATATTCTTAAATTTGCTTATAGAATTGTTTTTATTTAACAATAATTCACGGTTAATATTTATTATTGTAATACAATACATAATAATGACGGCGCCAGGAGTATCATTCTGTGTAGACCCTAAAATTGATGGATTTACTTATGAACATGATTTTTGAGGCCAGGATATTTGTATGCATATGAGTTTATTAACTTCTTTCAATTTTTATGATTTCACAATGACAAATTTTTATTAAATAAGATTAAAATCAAGTTTAATTTACGTTAAAGTTGTTTGAGTAAAAAATATATTTTATGACCCCTTAGTTTATTGACGTGGTTTTGATGATTATTTCGTTAGCAAAAAAAAAAAAAATGTTCTAGAATTTCAATTGGTCTTTATTTCTGACAAAATCAGTATAATATAAACAGTGCCGCAACTTTTAAGTTGGGACTTGTGTGTTGATAGTACTCCCATCCTTTACCTTCAATTTAATTTCAAAAAAAGTGGGCCCAACGTCCAATGTATGAAGGTATGAAACTGGTGTGTCTTAAACACTTTACACGTCCGATTTTCTTAGTACTGACTATGAATAATTATAAAGTTTCCAATATGATTTTTAAGTTTGTTAAAAAATAATTTAATTTTGCGATCATAGAAATAGGATGAAGGGGAACTAGGAGGCTTAGCTCCNTGAATAATTATAAAGTTTCCAATATGATTTTTAAGTTTGTTAAAAAATAATTTAATTTTGCGATCATAGAAATAGGATGAAGGAACTAGGAGGCTTAGCCCGNAGAAATAGGATGAAGGGGAACTAGGAGGCTTAGCTCCCAGAAATTTATCAAAATTATATGCATTAATATCAGTGGCGGCTCGTGGTTTCTGGTAGTGGTGGTGCGACTTAAAATATAATACCGCTAGTCATAAAAAATTGTCAAATTAAATATAATAAAATACATATTTTATTATTTTAAAGGTCGCAGTAGAAAATAGAAATGAAAATTACAATTATAGCGATTATACTATTATAACGACAAGCAGTTAAATCTAAAAATAAATTACCCAATGTAGTAACATACTAATATTTTACCGTATGGACTACCCTGCCGGTCATCCAAAACCCGTTCATAAGATTGGACCTGAATCCAACCCACACGATTATAACGCCTCGCTAATGGTATACGTTTTTGCATATTGCTCGGGACGACGCTGCCGATTGTCCCAACACTGTTCGTATGCGCATGCGTATACTGAGAGAAACAACTTTAATGTTCGCACACGACAAATGTATTATAACTATTTTACTATTTAAAAATTTGCATTTTTAATAAAAATGTAGAATTAAGAATATACAATAAATTTTATTCTTTAATTAATTTTAATAAGGGGTACGATCGTCTCGTCGTCCAAGCCACGAGCCGCCACTGATTAATATTTCGAAATTATTTTTTACAGGGAAAAATATTTTAATTAGCTCATAAAATAAAATGTTTCCATTTTTTTGTATACAATGTTTACAGGTCTGTGTTGACCATTAATCTATACTGTTTTTAAATCTTAGTTCATAGGTTTATGACACCAATCTATTTGCCCGTTTTTGTACAAAATTTGCTCAAATCGTAAGTTTTGGAAAAAAGTGATTATCCACAAATGTCGCCCTTGTTTTTTAAACACTTGGTTAGCGTGAGTCTGATCATTCTAAAATTATAATCTAGATTTTTAAAAGTTGTATATTTTAATAATATTTAATTTAATATTGATAATAAATTAACAGTCTTCAATAAATTTTGAAATATTTATTATGATTAGTTAAAAAACAGTAGCACAGTGGAATCGCGACACAGTATTAGTGTGGCATTGTTGGGTCCAGTATAGATTTAATTTGACAGTGATTAAAATCACTATCATAAGAAACGCTTCGATGCAAATCTGTAGATAGTGTTTAATTTTAAGAAATTGGTAAATTATTCAAAGCAAAATTCTAACTCAAAAAGAATTAAAATTAATTTTTTCGGTTTAAAAGAATAAAGAAATTAAATAAGTTTAACTTAATGTCAATTAGTATTATATAATATTTATGAAAACCCGTGTAACCCATTTTAAGGTATATCAAAATAAATTAAAATACAAATCCCAATATTTTAACACAAAAATAGCATATTTTGAATATGATAACCATGTTCACTGTACCTCGTTTTTTTTTATAGTATATTACATAATCTTTAATTTAAGATAAAATAAAAATGTCAATATTTCTAGAAAATTTTTAAAAATTGATTTGATAAAGTTAAATTTTTGTGCAGAAGTTGCTATTTTGAATCTCTCCCTGTGGGCAGATAAAGGGTCTAATTTTCAAAAAAATTATATCAAATTAAAGAATATTAAGGTTACAATATTAAAAAAAAATTTTTTAATTCTTAATTTTTCATAAAGTTATGGCAGTTTTAAGTATTAAAATATTTCATGTAAAACAGTGATTTTTGCATAAAAATTACATTTTTCGATAAATTCGATAGCAATTTTTCCTTAGAAGAAAAGCTATCGGGACAAATTTTTTTTCAAACTTATAATGTTTATCATAAGCTTTAATTTGACATATATTTAAAGCTCGTAGTATTTTCGGAACATTTTCAAAATTTAAGTTAAAAAAGTTCTACTTTTAACTCTTATTTTTAAAAATTTAAACCCCCCGTATAAAGGAAAATGGTACGATTGTTAAAAAAAAGTATGTCGAATATAAGGTATATATATAATTTATTTAGAAACAAAAATTTGTATTGATTTATATATTTTTCAAAGAGTTATAGTAATATAAAGTTGAAAAAATAAAATATGAAATCGTAAATTGTAACACCAAAATTTTTTTTGTATATGCTTTATACAATTTCAATAAATCTGTTCTTTGCGTATTTAAATTGTATTGTGTATTAAGTTTTTACATTATGATAAAAACATGCATGTTGTTATACCATAATTAATAAATACCATTTACATTTAATTATGCTTATTAGCTACCAGATATCAGTAGTTAACAATATCAATTACTTTTGATTTTTCTATCCGAGTCAATTATTTTTATTTTTTATTCGAACAAACTGTATTAAATGACATGTGAGTGTTTGTTTGACTAAATATGATTTATCAATGTAATTTTTACAAATACACAATAATAAAAATCATTTTTAAGTTTCCATGTCATATTCTTTATGATGATAGTTCCTTGATTGGAACTACGGCTTAAATTCTTATACATATAAAATATATGTATGACTGTTTTAAACAGATAGTACATTTTATGGATGTATTTTTTCTGAGGTATGTAGCTTGATGCACACTTCTGTAAATTGCGAGGTCTTGGACAGATTATTAAAGTGAAGCTCAAACGTAAATCTTTAAAACCATATTCTTTTTTGAAAATTGTTTAAAAGCAAAAAAGTTTAAAATATAAATGTTTTTTCTGTTTTAACTTTATAACGAATATAATGTACTTCGGTTTTCCTATAATAAAGAACAAGTCTTCCATTTGGACAAAGGTAGCTTCTGATTTTCCTATTGAACTTATTTGTATATAAAAATAATCATTTTTTTAAGTATTTATAAGGTAGGTCGATTGAAAAATGTTGTTTTAATTTATGCAGTAGTTACTGTTTATTTAAAATTTATTTTAAGTCTAGTATATACTACAATAGAATATTTCGTGAAATATTTTTTCTTAATGCTTTGAGTTTTCTATGAAATGAAAAGATTGGTCTTTGGTTGTTTATGGATCGATTATTAGGAAGTATGGGCTCATCCACGGTCCGACGATTTGATCGCTTCTATAAGATTAAATAACGAATTCGACAGTACAGTAGTAATTTGAATACTATCCGACCACATAATGACCTAAAGTATACTTTCTATAGCTTAACAAATCAACAACAATATCCAAATTGTTATAAATAATTTATTCGAATTCAGTGATATTTTTTTAAAAAAGATTGTTTTTTGTATAATATTCAGTTGTGTCATACTATTGTAGTAATTTTTATTACAGGGTAAAAGATTTTTTTTTTTTTTAAGAGTAGTGATTTCTTAAAAAATTAACTAAAAATATCGAGAAAGGTATAGTTTATTTGTTTTCATCAGAGAAAACTTAATGTTTTTCTGGTTTTTCTGGTTATTATTGTTAATTTTTGTATTACACAGGTCAAACGTGCCCGCATAATTGAATTGTTCTTCACCTTAATCAACCACGAAAACCCTATCCCATAATATTTCATTAATTACTTTTAAATTGAATTTTACATTTAAAGCCGACCAGACTATAAATTGAAACCTTTACCGTTGTAATAAAGTGAAATACGTTTTGAAATCTCACAAAGTTATAAAACAAAAACAACATAGCAAATATGGTCCATGATTAACAACTAACTTCAAAACTTAAAATTAACTAAAATTAAAGAGTTATTGTGATTTGTTTACAGTAAAAATGATACAAAACTTCGTATTTTTCATTTGAGGATATCGACGAGGTACATGTATTCCGAAAATGATAGCTACGTGCCTATGATTTTGAAGGGGATGCACAAATTTCCCATTCAAAAAGTTGGTAAGTATTATTTAAATGATTGTTTTTATGAGTGTATTTATATATTTAAATAACCAAATATATTTTAAACATTTTCTCAGAGCAAAAAGAAGGCGGTACTCAGTTAAAGCTCATCATTGAATTTTCAAATGGAGACAAAGCTTTAATGAAGCCAATGAGGTAAATAATTAATTAACTAAATATGTTTGTTCATCCCCAAAATCAGTATTACAGCCTTGCTATTTTATATATAAACTAGCTTTTAGGTTTCAAATGTAATAAAAAAGGTAAACGTTGATTGAGTTATTAATAATTAATGTATACTAATGGACCTTGTATATATATATATATATATTATCTTCTAAGTGTTAAAACTTGACATGGTAATGTTTTTAAAAAGTTTATTTCTAAATTTGCTCTTACCTTAATCAAATTAATTTTTAATCAAAAGTAATTTGAAACATTTTAATATTACATAATGAATTTACAACATGCTGAGTGATCAAAAGATTTTGTAGAAATATTTTTCTTTGACCTATTGAAGTTGTTGATTCTTAGCTATTATGTTGTCCTCTTTATGATGTGTCAATTAATTTAAATATATTTTATAATGCAATTGTGAAAAGACTTTATAATTATTTATGTAATTATTGTCAAACTTTAGATTTCCCAGAGAACAGCAAACTCTTCCAAACCACTTCTACTTTACTGACTATGAAAGACATAACGCAGAAATTGCTGCATTTCATCTTGACAAGTATATTTATCACTATTTATTTTACTTAGTGTTTAAGTATTGAATAATTTTAGAACAATTTTAACTTAATTATTTTTTTTTTTTAACTAAACCATACTTAGGTGGTTTATTTTATGATACATAATATGTAACTACTTTTTAATGAATAAAAAATCAACAGATGAAGATGAATGTTTTTATATACATCAATTTTTACTACCGAATTATATTATAACTATTTTACTATACAAAATTTAAACTATTGGATTTTAATTAATTTCATCTGAAGTGATTAATCAATTAAATAGCATTGATGTAAGTGTTTTAATGCTATTTAACTATTTCCAATACAATAATACTCAATTGATTATTTTCTTTAAGTTTTTTTAATTAAAATAAATTTTGCCATTAAAATTATTCTATGACAATAATTTTATAAACAAGATATCAATTAAAAATGACGTAGATTTTAAGGTTGTCCAATGATTAAATTTGACCCGAGAGGAATAAGTTGTAGCATTTTATTAAATTTATTAATCACTAAAATATAGATTAATTCGATAATATTTTGAGAGTTTATTTCTAACTTTTATTTTTTAATTAGGGTTTTAGGGTATAGAAGAGCAATGCCAGTCAGTGGTCGTTATATGAATATTACTACTGATATTATGGATAAAGTAATAGATGATGATTTGCTCAAGACATTTTTCATTTCACCGGCTAAAAATCTATGTTTCCATGGCCATTGTTCATATTATTGCGATACGTCACATGCGATATGTGGTAATCCTGACATGTTAGAAGGCTCATTAGCTGCGTATATGCCGTCCCAAAATCTCCTTGAACGTAAAACTTGGCGACATCCATGGAGACGAAGTTACCACAAGAGAAAAAAAGCTAAATGGGAAACAAGTTGGTATATTATAAAACTAATATGACTACCAAATTATAAGTATTAATTAGGGCTATACTTATTTAATATGAATAAGCTTAAGCAATTCAAATAATACACTTAATAATATGGATTATGAACTACCATATATGGACTATCATTTATCTGAGGTGATAATGAAACTCAGACTAAAATAGCCAAAATATGTGTTGATATAATTTTTTGTTAGATAATGTCTAATATTAAAAAAAAATGGATGCTTAGAAAATAAAATAAAATTTAAATTAAGATTTTTCAATATGTAATCACTGTGATGAAATATTAAAATATTTAATATATTATCTATTTATGAATTTAATATTTGTGGGGTAACTTAACCAGTGAATGAACAATTAAGAGTTTATTATTTTATTAAAGTTCTTTGTTATTTTATATTTTGACGATATATAAATATTATATCTCTAGAAAATTTACTAAAATTATATTTTAAAACATTTATAACTAACTCAAATAAAAATTTTAATTTATGTGGAAAATTATAATTTGTCAGTAAATGCACAGTTAATGATGTTGTGTTGAAAATTGTCATAATACAATAGTAGGTCAAATGAGTCTTTTACGTTTAAATATTTGTTTTTAATTTTTGCTTTTTTCATTCATTGCATTTCTAAAAAAATTAGTACTCAAAATTAATTTTTTTATGGTTTTTCTAATAAATTTGCTTTGCTCGATGAATGAGTTTATAGTTTTGATCACTATTATTAATTTTAATAATTTCTTAAAATTTATTTATTATTAATTTTTTTTAGCTCTTTTATTGTACCTTAAATTTGAAATCATTATTAGTGACTTTTTGTGTCTAAAATAATGTGTTGAAACCAAAACCTAATTTATTTTTTTGTTAAATTTAGTGAATAATTAACCGTTTAATTTGCAGTACAAAAATATTTTTAGAAATTATATAATAAATGATTTAGTAGTTTTTTTAGAGTAGTTTTAGTAATTTGGCATGTTTTATGATGGTAAAAAAACATTATGAAAAAATAATAACCATGTGATGATTATATAATTTTTGGAAATATGATAGAGATTTTAAATCACTCCTACTACTTGAATATTGAACCAAAATAGAACTTTCAATAATAATAATTGAAAGAAGTACCTTACTTTAAACTTAATTTTGTTTTTTAATTCTATTATTTATTGATTTTATTAATTTTTTTTCAATGTTCCAAAGAACTTGAACTTTTTAATTTTACATCAAATTAAATCTAATATAATATACTTTAAGTCTAAAATAGAAAAACTATCGAACATTTCGATTCCTAGGAGTTATTGGACATTAATGACTAAATTCATACAATAATTTGTAAAAATGGTTGATTTTTTAGTTTTTGTATAGTAATACAGTATTTTTATCATTTTAAATTATTTGAAATTAAAGCTTGTTTAATGTAGTATATCATTTATAAAAGAAAAAGGACTTGTTGTCTATGAGTCAGAAGTATTTCACGACAGTGATTTCAATCATTGTCAGATATTAATCATTACTAATCTAAAAAAAAACCTCAACTCACTATGCTATATCTATATCTGACTGTACTTAACTTTTTATAATTAAAGTTTTATTATTAATAAAATTAATTAATCATATAGTTAAACTAATAAATTGCCTTTTTTAAAAATTTATCCAAAATTAATGAAATTTGGTTCGTAATTATTATTACACATATTTATTTTTGTATTTAGTATGATATTTTTAGTTTTATTTTAATTTATAAATATAGATGCAAATTATTGCGATCTCATAAGACAAGTGGAACCGTATAAAAAAGGTAGTCGCCTATTGGACTTGATGGACATGGCTGTGTACGATTTTTTAATGGGCAATATGGATCGTCATCATTATGAGACTTTTACAGTGTTTGGAAATGACTCGTTCCCGATTCATCTTGATCATGGCAGAGCGTTTGGTAAACCTTTCTATGATGAAGTGAGCATATTGGCTCCTGTTATTCAGTGTTGTCTCATACGTAAGACGACATTAGAAACTTTACTCAAGTAAATTGATATGAATTATTCAAGTAAATTTTTGTGAATTAAAAAATCAATAACAGTTAATTTTTTACCTACCAAAATGTTATGCAGAATTATAATATTACTTAAATTTATTTTGAAATTGATTGAGATCAGTGTTTAATCAAAATGTTTGTTTTATTTTATAAAAGATATGTATACTCTTCTGTTTAAAATTTTTACTAATACTGGAAGAAGGAAATATTGACCATTTAAATATTTTTTGCTCATTATGTCTCATTGGTCTTATTTTTTAAAACTTTTATAGAAATTTTAAATTTACACGCTTATACATTTAACATTGATAGTAGATATTAACAGTTGTTTGAAAAAGGTAGAATCTTTATGTTAAAGAAATTTAATACCCCTTATCGTTCCATTGTTGGACTCAGTAGAAAAAATCCCAACTTTCGTATGCAATAGTTTGTTTGTGCTATATATTACTTTTAGTCCCATACTGTCGTCGTCGATGGCTATTCGAGTGCGGAAATTCGGCCATACAAGTCCACTGCAGGATAAAAGCACCCTAGAGAATAAACGGCTTGCCAATATTGTTCGTCGAAACCCCACGTGGAGAGATAATCTTAAATAAACGGCTGTCGTTAAGAGAGGTAGAAAGCTATTACCCATTTGAAAACATACAGCCGTCCGACTGGCCAATAAAATATTCAGAAGACAAAAAGCATGTTTGGTGACGGTGAATAGCTGCTTTTCCGACAAACTTAGCGTTATTATTATCAGTATCTTGTGTATATTCTGTATTTATGAATGTGAAAACCATCAACACTGTAGTATTACTAGATTATTTAATCCACCTTAAGAACCATACCTGCTATTAGGATAATACCTTTTTGCAGCCACATTTATTTAGTACTTACCAATTTATAATTATAGATTTCATTTAAGCCTGTAAGTTACTGCTGTGAGGTTATTTATCAAATTTTTTTATTTAATGAGCTATAAGGGTAACGTTGACATTTAATATTTAGCATTATAAGATAATTGTCTTAATTGCTAAAAATATTTAATTTTTTTGACATTAGTATAATATGTTCGAGATAAAGTTCAAACTATATCCTTTTTTTCAAAATATATCAATTTTAGATGGAAAGTTTTCCGTTGGCTAATTTGAAATGAAAGGCGTGCGTGTTGGATAATATAATCGGTTGGGAGTCAATTCCATAGCAAAGTTTTCGATGTGAAAAGTTTAAATGTTCGGCTATTTGTCCAGTAATCGTTACATACGAAAACCAGCCGAATGGGTACACGGTTAGAAATTGGTTTTATCGAATTGAACTATAGAAAAAAAGAGAAACCCCCTTTATTTGTAAAATAAACGATATATAAAAAGTATAACATTCTGATAGGAGTGATTCTAAGTTAAATGAAAGTTTTTAAATATTAGTTTTTGTGAATAAATCAATATAATAAAAATTGATCACTTGTGGCCAATATTATGTTTTAAATTAAAACTAGATTAATAATATTTTTTAAATAGTTTTAAATTAAAATAATAAATCAATACTTCTATAAAGTTTAAGTCAAAGGTAACTTTGAAATAAACATGTTGTTACCAGTAGAAAAATACAAAAATTTTATATGAAATATGCTTGATGTATGAGTAAATATTCACAGTAATTTCTTAAAAGAATATCAACACTTTAGCTTTTCTTACTTTTTTATTAAACTTTAATATTTTAACTTTAATTAAAACTTTCAAAATATTTAATGAATAAAAGAAACAGAGACTTAAATTTTATTCATATTTATATATACAGGGTGGCCCACCACTCACTGACAACTTAAATAACTTTTGATCCAGTTAATATTTTTAGCTGATTTTTTTTTTAAATAATAGTTATACGTTAGGTCTATAGCTATATCTCAATAATTAATTTTTTTACATTTTATTAAAAATATTAATTATTTTTAAATTTTAAATAAAATGTAAAAAAAAAATCTAAGATAGCTATTTTGTAGAGTAGAATTTAAGAAAAATTTTAGTAAAAAAATATCTTATTAATATTCAGTAGTAAATATTCTGTAGCGTTTTGAAGTTTGTGAAAATTTGAATTTTCATGTACTATTTTACGGTATTAAACATTGAAATACGTATTGAGAAAAGGACAGAAGAAAACGCTATCTTTTCATGATTACTGTGTATACATATGATGATAATGTGTATACATTACAAACTTGGCATTAATACCATGATAAGAAATTAGATAAGGCAATTATTACTTATCACTCTCATTCAAAAGTATATTGAAAAGATAGCGTTTTCTTCTGTCCTTTTCTCAATACGTATTTCAATGTTTAATACCGTAAAATAGTACATGAAAATTCAAATTTTCACAAACTTCAAAACGCTACAGAATATTTACTACTGAATATTAATAAGATATTTTTTTACTAAAATTTTTCTTAAATTCTACTCTACAAAATAGCTATCTTAGATTTTTTTTTTACATTTTATTTAAAATTTAAAAATAATTAATATTTTTAATAAAATGTAAAAAAATTAATTATTGAGATATAGCTATAGACCTAACGTATAACTATTATTTAAAAAAAAAATCAGCTAAAAATATTAACTGGATCAAAAGTTATTTAAGTTGTCAGTGAGTGGTGGGCCACTCTGTATATATTATATATATAATATCATACTATCTAGAGAGTAATTACCAGGTTTTTGCTAACACAATGTTATCATGTACTTAAAATGACTCAGATGATGTAATGTATGATAATTTCATAGTACCAGTTACAATAGACGTACCTATAAGTATTCTGTACAAAATAGCCTACTTACTCCACCTTACCTTTAAATATTAAAGTTGCAAATTAAATTATACGTTTTACTTTACTTCGATTAATATTGGTTTTATACAACACATATAAAATTGTATTATTATAAAAATGTTTCTTCAGAAATCCTTATACTTTAACAGTAATTCTTCTACGTTTATTTGCTGATTTATGTTATTAGCTGTTTCTAAATCCAATTTAATTTTATCCATTGTGATAAGTGCTTGTTTAAAAATGGGATTTTCCTTTAATTGTTTAATTGCACTAACTTCCATTTCTCGCTGAATTTTAAAATTCCTCATTTCTTTTTCATATTTTTCCAAAAGTAAGTTCAAACGCTTGCAAGCCTTGAAATTGGTATTTACATTCAACTCATCATAGTCGTTTTGATTTTTGGCTAATTGCAAGGATGGAGGGTTTTCAAGAGATTTGCAATCATTTATTTCCTCTGACATGATTATTACTAATCGAAAATGTATTAAATAAAAAATCAAGAAACAGTTGCTAGGCTTTATGAAATAAATAAATTCTTATTATGATTTCATGTTGTATGTGTGTAATTTTATTATCATATCTATGTATTTTTTATTTCTATAATTATATCAACAATTTAGAAGAGATTTTTGTAAATTTTGTATAGAATTTTTTTTACAAATACGTGGACATAATTCCTGTGAAAATTAGTTAACATGTTTAGAATTATGCCCGGAATAGTTTCTATAAAAGAAGTGTGAGGCTGCTAATAATTTTGTCATTTAAAATATTTATAAAAATAGTTTCAATATTGAAACGGTAAAATATAGAATTTTTACGGCCAATTTTTAAATAGTATTTTAAAATGTGTAACTCAAACTTATTTAATGTCAAATAAGTTAACAATTATTAAATATTAATGGTTCATATGAAGTATTTAATACTTAATTTTATTATTTTTATGATTATTTTGGTCTCTAGATTTTAATAACTACTGTCATTTATAAAGTTTCAAGAAGCATTAGAGTTTGTTTTTATTTCATACATTTAGTACATAAATATTATTATTTAAATATTTTATATTGTATTAGAAATTAAATAATATTATTTGAATATATTACAAATGAAATGTATAGAACATAATGACATTTTTATAGGTTTCACAATAAGAAAAAACTTAGCAAACATATGAAAGAGTCTATGAAAGATGATCCACTGGTTCCAATTCTGTGGGAACCTCATTTTAATGCAATGGACAGAAGAGTGGGCATCATATTGTCGGTCATTAGAGACTGCTTACAGCGTTATGAAAACGAAAGTGACCAAGATGAGATGAATAATAGTCAAAATAAGAAAAAATCTGCCGAGTTCAATAAAACCTTTTTCGCAAATTTAGTACCAGAATCAGTTACTAAGTCTGCTGCTAGTTGGACGACGCAAACTGAATCAGTTGCAGGAGACGCTGGAGTTTAAATTTTTCGAATGTTGATTTATCTAAATTTTATATTTTTATGTATCATAAACGATAACTTTTGTATAATATTTTGTTGTTTTCTAATACCTAGTCTATTATGATTATGATAAACAAATGTATATCAAATATCATCACAAGTTACTATTTTCAAAGGTGCTAAACTATTTTATTATTATGATGTTTATAATTATTATTTTTATTGAGTATTCAATGGACTACAAAAAAATTGTTTTCATGTACAAAAACTAAAAATAAATTAATATTTTCTCAGACTAAGTATACTTTTTTGATAAAAAAAAAAAATGAATTGCTACAGAAATTATTTAAATAATTATTATTTACATAAATTCGAGAAAATATTAGTTAGATTTTATTAAAATTAAGAGAATTCGAAATTAAATAATTTAACTTAGAATGATAAATGAACGTTGAAGACTAAAAATATGTATACTTTTATTAATTATTTCATATGGATTTTATAAAACTTTCTATAAAATATGTAAAATTCAAAATGTAAACTAAATTATAAAATATATTTTAAATATAGCTAAAAAAATGTTATTCATAAATAACTATATAAAAATCTTTATAATACTGTGTTCATAACGATACTCATAAGTATCAAAAAATATATTTAAATTTATTAACGTTTTAAATTAATGCTATGGAAAATTCTGAAAACTTTTTTGTGTCATTGACTGAGATATAATTTATCAATGAAAGCTACGTTTATAACTATTTTATTTAAATATCAATATAATGTTAAAGTAGTTGAAATCATATGCATATAAATTGATTATTATAAACGCTACTATTAATATAACGTAAAAAATATTTTAGCTTCGATGCGAAGCTGAGAAGGTATTGGTTTTACTATGATATGTTTTTTTTGTGTCTGTTACCAATTTTTCTCAGCTCTCGCAGAACTGATTTTTTTTTAACAATACGTCAAAATATGACAAATTGTATCTAGTCGAAGATATTACCCTCAACAATTGAAAAAAATTCCCTCTTTCCCGTAAATGGGGGAAACTTCCAAAGGAATTACAAATTTAAAAATCGCTAATTTTCGTAATTTTTTCAATTTTTTTTACTTAAAACTGCCATAATTTTTTGAAAATGAACATATCAATATAATTTTTTTTATTTTATAGATGCTTGATGTCTTAACCTATCATTTGGTATATTTTTTTTATAAATTTAACCCTTTGCCAGCCCACAGGGGGGGATTCAAAATGACAACTTTTTTACAAAAAATTTACTTTTGAAAGTGTTCCGGAAATACTGACACTGTTATATATATCTTAAATTAAAGCTACTGTAATATACTTTATTATTGAAAAAAAAAATTTCGGACTTTATTTTATCTTCACGGTGAAAACAGACATCAAAGTTTATAAAAAAAATACGATTTTTGTAAAAAAATTCATTTTTATATTTTTAACTTTATAATGCTATAACTTTTTGAAAGATGTATGGATCAATATAATTTTTTTTTTATAGATGCATGATGTCTTTACCTATCATTTGGTATATATTTTTTTTATATCTGACCCTTTACCTGCCCACAGGGGGGGATTTAAAATGACCACTTTTTCACAAAAAATTTACTTTTTCAACTTAAATTTTGAAAGTGTTCCGGAAAGTCTGACACTTTTATATATATCTTAAATTATAGCTAATGTAATTTACTTTATTATGCGAAAAAAAAATTTCGGACATTATTTTGTCTTCACGGTGAAAATGGCTACCGTATACTATTTTTGAGTTAAAATTCTCGATTTTATTTTGTACATTTTGTACTTTAAAATGCTATAACTTTTTGAAAAATGTATGGATCAATACAATTCTTTTATAAGAAATAAAATTTATACAGAGTGATTTTTTTATCATAACCCACTCAATTACTTGCAGAATAATAATAATTTAAACATTTTTTTTTTTTTTATTATCTTTAGTTACACACTATTCTTGAATTTTTAACTATGTAATACTTTTTAAGTTCATCCCTTATGCCTTGGAGGGGGGTCAACTTTGTTTTTTTAAATGGTAACACATATTTTTAATTTAATAAAATGTTTGAGTTTTTAATTTAATAGTGAATGGCATTTGAATTTTTAATATAACTTTATTAGCTTATTAGATATGAACATTTAAAGTTTCAAAATTTTGAGTTAATATACATGTATAATACACATGGGATTGTAAATACAGGTAGCTAATTGGATTTTTATGACATTGCTGTCTCAGTCACGGATTGTTTATTATCAATTATGATTATCAATAGATATACTTTCTGTATTGTCAGTTAGTGTATTTATAAACTCATAACAATGTGCCTTACTACAATTGATAATAACAATGCTGTGTACCTGCTAATATCGATGTTATAAAAAACCAATTAGCTACCTATATTTGTAATCCCTTGTGTATTATACCTGTATATTAATTCAAAAATTTGAAACTTTAAATGATTATATCTAATAAACGAATTAAGTTATATTAAAAATTCAAATGCCATTTACTATTAAATTAAAAACTCAAACATTTTATTAAATTAAAAATATGTGTTACCATTTAAAAAAACAAAGTTGACCCCCTTCCAAGGCATAAGGGATGAACTTAAAAAGTATTACATAATTAAAAATTCAAGAATAATGTGTAACTAAAGATAATGAAAAAAAAAAAATGTTTAAATTATTATTATTCTGCAAGTAATTGAGTGGGTTATGATAAAAAAATCACCCTGTATACCTCTTTCATTCGACATACTTTTTTTTAAACCGGACCATTTCCCTTATTACAGGAGGGGTTCAAAGCATAAAAATTCATATAGAAAGTAGAACTTTTTCAACTTAATTTTTGAAAAGGTTTCGGAAATACTGACACTTTTATACATATCTTAAATTAAAGCTTATGTAATATACTTTAATATTAAAAAACAAAATTTCGGACTTTATTTTGTTTTTATGGTGTTTTCATGAAATCAATGATGGGAGAAGAGGTACGGTCAAAAAATGTCTTATAATAAATATAACATATTGACTCTTAACTTCCAGTCAATATTTCGTTTGGATTGGTTAATAAAAAAAGTAATTAGTAACTGATAAATTGACAAATGAGTGAAACTTAAAAATATCAAAAATAATTATTGAGTATATATACTTCATTCAGTGGCGTATTTTGGGGGGGTGTCCTCCATGTCTGGACACCCCCCGACTTAAAAAAAAAGATGCATAATATATTGGTATTACCTTTTTTTTATAATATACTATAAAATAAATGGTATTTTAAATAAATGACAAAAATGAAGTTAATTTGATATGATTCGACGACACGTTACGAGATTTATATCAATCTGTATTTTATCAGGGATATCTAGAAATTATTTGAATTTCACTGGGTCATAAAGATAACAAAAATACCCGCAGGAAAAATATAATAACAACGGAAATATTCTGAACTTGTAGCTTATTTTGAAATCTATTTTATATAGTTTATCAGTTAAGAGAATTATACATTTGAATAATACTATTATTTGACATTCATTTTTTCGTCGACCGTCGAGCATACAGCTATAACGTGCCATAAAGTAAGTACTAAGTACCTACCTATTTATTCAAATAAAATAAATAATTAAAATATGAACCAATCATAGGAATTTTATTATAAATTACGAATAAATGTGTAATAAACTATTATACAATTTTAATTTTATTTAAATATTTTAAAATAATATTTTTATTTTTATTATATCTTAACTAAGTTATTACGCGTTACAAAAAAAAGTAAAATTTAACAAGTCATTTATAACTGAGTTTGTAAAAGTTTATTTTATAATTTTGATCAGTATTATGCTTCAGTTAGCTATTCCAAAAAAATATTATTACATAAATAATATTTAACGAATNTCCAAAAAAATATTAATACATAAATAATATTTAACGAAACTAGTAATTTTTACTTGTTTCCTTTTACCCGTGCTGTCCATTTATACATTATACTAGCAATATAGTCTTTGAAACTGAGCCTCCCCTTAAAAAATACATATCAACTACTAATATGATTAATAAACTATTAGAATAAGAGTAAGTAATTATATTAAAATATAATATTTTGTCACTGAATAGAAAAATTCGTGTTTTGTCAATATTGCAATCTACGTTATCTATAAATAGTTCCTTGGGCGAGNCGTGTTTTGTCAATATTGCAATCTACGTTATCTATAAATAGTTCCTTGAGCGAGTTTACAGATATCCGGCAGTCATTACGACGATGGCAGTTAGAGTAAAAATGCCGCACTGCCGCCCGAGTGTTTCAATCATATTATGTAATATTATGACTGGGTGTAGCTGAGGGGGCCAGGGCAAATTGCTTTTATTCATTTAATATTCAACCAATTTAAATTTTTTTTCTCTAAGTTACTTATACTTGTATGTAACTCTACAAAATGGTTCTTTAACAATTTTTCGAAAAAATAAAAAATTAAATGTTTTTGAATTTTGTTTAACTATTATAGTTTGCGATAATTAAGGAAAAATGTGTTGTAAAATTACCAAAAATGGCACAAAAAAAGCAAGGATCAATTACTTCCTTTTTTAAGTTAACACCTACTACCTCAGAATTTTAATCAACTCATAACAACGATACTCTTACAAATAAACGAGCATCTTCGCCAGTTAACTCGATTGACTCGCACTTTAAGTTTAGATACAAAAGACTCAAATAATATTTCTTTTACTGAGGACACAAACTATAGTAATAATTATGATATTGAATTTTATATTAACCGTAAGTTATCGAACGAAGATATCTTAATTGTTATGACGAAAATTTGGATGCCAAATATATCATTCAAATTCCCACAAAAACTATATACAGTTCAAAATAAACCAAAATACTTAAAGTTCCAGTATTCATGGCTATTAAGATTCCCTTGGTTGGTATACTCGATAAAAGTAAATGGTGCATTTTGTCGAATCTGTGTAGCTTTTTCCAAATCGAATGAAAATAACGGACAAATCTTAGGTGCATAAGTAAAAAAAAAATATGATAATTGGAGAAATGC